GGGTGGGAGGACAGAGACTGAACACAGGCAAAAAGAGGGTGGTGGTAGGAGAAATAGCCATACATTTACAGATGAGGGGAGAACAACATAATAAGGGCACAGAAAGATCCGAAACTGAATTTTTTGTGAACAGCAGAATATTTGCAAATGCTATATGGTTGGGTGTACTGCATGGGTACTGTTTCTTGTCTCCCTCTGCTAGCAAGCAGTTACAGTAGATTCTTATGGATGTTTTAACCAGAGGTTAGTCCCACTTAACTTGATGAGGCTTATTCCTAGGTAAATGTGTTTGGAATCATGGCATCAGCGCAACATGTTATGCTCTTTTCCCAGTATAGCACCTTAACATCCCTTCTAAACACCCTGGTCTGGTTTTGGAAGCTAAGCAGGATCTGACGTCGTTAGTTTTTGGATGGGAGGCCACTGCACAATACCAAGTGCCATGTTAGCTCATTGATAGATTGTGTGTGATCTGCAGAAATTATTAGGAAACAATCTTACATGAAATCCTGGACAGCTGCTACCACTCAAGAGTTAACAGTCATGGGCTACAAATACCAATAGCCTGATTCAGAGTAAGGCAGCTTTGTACTGTACTTTCTATCTCAGCCCTCCTACCGTCAAACAGACTTTCCCATGTCAAGCTGATTTGGGAAATTTACACAGTGCTGCTTTCTTGTACCTGATATTTCACATGCTTAGTCCTTATACTTGCTGGAGGAAGAGATAAAGTACTGTATTTGGAATGGAAAGGATAAAAGTTGGGGCAGTTACCAGTGATAATATATGAACAGAGTGGTCTAAAGATATTTTGATTCCATTGTGGAGGAACATGTGCAAATGCACACACTCAATCAAGGTTCAGAGTACTCAAAGCTGGTCATATTACTTTGGCAGCTGGAACAGAAAATCCCATAAGCACTTCTTCTATTTACTGGCATTTTTTTAAAAAAAAACCTGCCCTTTTGTGCCAAAGACACCTGCCTCACACTGTCCAATGATAGGACAGGTCCTAAGAAAATCCCCCTTTCAGGAGAAAAGAGTGTTCTTTGTAAACAGTCCTCCTCTAGTAGCTTAATATAGTAACAACAAAACATTCCACTGTATTTCAAGGTACACTCTGCCTTTCAAGCAGACTATGGACTGGTTCTCATTGATTCACCTTTTGGGACTGCTGGGCGCTTTTCTTAGAATCTAGTGAATTATAGATAGGCTACACTGGCTGTAGCCTGGAGCAAAATCGACACTCTGTTTCAAGACAGCCTTTGTTCAGCATCCTGAAAGCACAAGGCCCTTGCTGGATCAGACCAAAGGTGCATGGAGTCCAGCATTCTGTTTTCCCACAATGACCAATGAGATGTTGATTGGAAGTCCAAAAGCCAGGCATAAGTATGATAGCACTCTTCTACTCATGTTCCCTGACAGCCTTTGTTACGGACTAGAAATCACTGATATTCTTGGCCTCTGTCTGATCCCCTTTAAAAGCAATCCAAGTTGGTGGCCATCACTATTTCTTATTGTGATGGCCACATTTCTTTCTCTTTGTTCAGAATCTCCCACCAACTTTGTTGGGCAACCCTGGATTTCAGTATTCGGGTAAATGAGAAAAAACTTCTGTATATCTACTGCCTCCATACCATGCCTATTTTCATAACTTCTACCACAGTTCCTTTGCTTATCTGTCTTCCCTTTCAGAAAGAAACACATTTCACAACCTTCCCTGATTTTTGTCTTCCTTTTCTGAGATGACTATTAATAAAAACAGTCCCATCAGTTGAAAGAAGATGATAAGAAGCTGTCTTATACTGAGACTGTCTAAGCCAATATAGTCAACTCTGATTGGCAAGTTTTTTCAGAGTTTCAGGCAGGATACCTCTTCACTAGCCCTACATGAAAGACCTGGATAGTGTCTAGCGGTCACCCATCCAAGTAGTAATCAGAACTGACCCTGCTTAGCTTCTGAAGTCAGACAAGGTGTTCAAGATCTAGTGATGGCAGGAAAGATCAGCAAACAAACCTAAGAGTGCAGGAAGCCACAGATCATCCTCCAGCCTGCATTAATAATGATAATGCTAGGTGAAGGAAAAGACCTAAGGGAGAAGGGGGGAAATCCAAAGAAGGGTTGGGGAAGGAAAGGGAGGAGTAGGAAGAAGCCAGAATAGCTTTTGTATTAGATGAGAAAAGACGTACCTGAGAAGAACTGGCTGATAGAGTGAGGAAGAAGAGTCAGGAAGGCCAATGGGTTGGCAAAGGAGGTGGAGAGCACAGCTGAGATGTAAGATACCCCTGCCACCAGCGAATCAAGGCAAGCCAAAGAAGTGTACAAACAGAACATGATGAAGTTCCGCATGTTCCTACTACCAATGCAGTTCCCTGTGAAGAAACAGTGATGGTCATGCCGTTGGGTGAGCCTGGCGCACAATCGGCAGAAGTGGGTGCTGGGCAGAGCCAAGCGGGGAGACCCACTCCCATCTTCTGGCCCATCCCTGGCCACCCCTTCAGCTTCTCTGGCAGCTGTGCCCAAGTTCAGGTCCTCCTTGCTCAGATCTTCAGGGGTGTTTCGGATGACTAGGATGTAGTTGCCCAGAGCATTGGCAGAGAGGAAGAGGAAGAGGGCCCCGTGCAGCAGCGCAGAGGAGAAAAGCGGGGTGGCAGAAGGGTCTTGGAACATGCTGGGGATGAAGAGGAAGAGCTGGAGGGCGAAGGTCACCAAGGAGATGCAGAGGAAGTAGACTGGCGCCACCACATTGAGGAACCGGAGCACTAGCATTGTGGGTCACATTCCTGCAGGGGACAGCAAGAGGAGAACAGGCATCACCACAGCCTAGCCTGCAGACTGACTCCTATTTGCATCCAGAGGTCCCCAGCCAGGTCTCTCTCTCTCTCTCCCGTCTGCCGCTGGGGCTCATGGAGAGCACTCGCCTTTTCATAGTTTCCCTGCTCTCTGGCCGCTCATCCCCTTCTGCTTGCCTCTGGTTTCTCTCCCCTTCCAATGCAAAAATTCCCCTCCCCCAGCTTTCACTTCCTAGCTCAGCCGTGCACAGACAGGGACGCAAACTCCAAGCCGCGGGGAAGGCAGGCTCTCCCCTTCTAGCTTTGGATGTTGCCAGGATCCAAGCTTGGAGGTCGAACCTCGGGGAGCCGGCGCGGCAGCCTCGCTACCAAGATTCCCGAGGGAGGGGGACTGCAGCGGTTTTTTGAATTCGCCCCCCCCCAATCTGTCTCTTCCTTTTTCGGGTTCCCTTCTTGCCTGCCGGCTACATCCCCGCCACCCAACTCGCTCGGCTCGGCCAAGGCTGCCATCTGAACGTGTTTATTTGGCTGGAGAGGAAGTCCCTTGGAACTTAAGAAGGCTTACTTCTGAGTAGACGCGTAGAGGATTAAACTGGAATTCTGGAGTTCCTCTCCTCCGGTGGCGGCGGCGGTTGCAGAAGCAGCTGAGGATTATGATGATCTTCCCTCCCTCTGATTATTATTATTGATTATGTATTATAAGCAAGAAGGGGAGGGAGCCCGGTGGCCGTTCTAATCCGTTGCAATACGGATCAAAACCAGTGCTCTCGTTTAGCCCTAAAAGCCTCAAATCTGCAGATTACCTCGTCGACTGTTGTCCTGCCATACACATCATTAGGGGAAGCTGGAACCAGCTGCTTTAAGTGCCGCCCAGCCTCCGGCGCCGGTGTGTGTGTGTGCGTGTGTATGGTCGCGGTGCGGTCCTTTTCACCTTTGGAAGCAAGGCAAACTCAACCTTCCCTCCCAGTCTTCACCCATATCCAACCCCGGGGCTCGGACACCCAAATACGGAGGTCCCCCCACACACACACACACACCAGAAGTCTAGCCAGCCAGCCAGCCACCCCACCTTCCTCTCAGCTTGTCTCTATGGCTCGTCTCTGCTTTTCCTCCCCAAACAAATCCACGTACGACACATATGTACAGTATGGAGACATTTTTTTAAAAAAAACGGACCAATAAACAGAGGAGTTCTGCGGTAAGCCGGCAATCCCTGCCTCTCCGCCTCTCCCACACCTATCCACCGGTAGACTGTAAGAAATGCAAACTTGGGAGCTACGTCGGTTAAGGGGATGAGCTCTTTCCACTCCCGCGATCCGATCGCCACTGGGAACTTTTGTGGGACCGGAGTTCTGCAGGCAGGTGACTTCGGATCTGCGGCGATCACTCCCCACTTCCCAACTCTAGATCCCTCCGGTTCGCCCGTCTGCCTGGACCGCTCGATAACCTTGAGGTCCCCTTGTGCTCTTCGGCTGTAGGGATCCCTGCCCGCCACACCGTCTTTACCTGGACGCCCGCAACCGAGTAAGAGCTGCTGTGGTTTCCACGCTGGTCAGCCCTCTGAGCCTCCAAATCCCAGGCCGGCGCCTGCCTTTTCCCGCCGCCGCCACCACCAGCCTCAGCAGCGGCAACTCGAACCCCCCCTTAGCTGCGCCGCCGCGGCCAAGGTGCGCAGCTACCTCCGGCTCAGTGGGGGCCCTGCCTGTGGTCGCCCCAGAGGCAGGACCCGCCTTCCTGGCCGTCGCCTTCTCTCCGCTCCCCGATGGGGCGGATTCGCCTTCGGGAGCGCCGCGGGAGCTGTCCCTTCAGCACCACCAGAGAGCAGCCCGACGAGGAGGGGGAGGAGAAGCGGGGGTGGAAAACAAAGCCGTCGGTGACAATCCCAAAGAGATGCCGATGCTCCAATTCCAGCTCCAGTCCTCTGGGCAACTGCCCTGCAGACGTCCTGGGTGTCGGATCCTGACAACTCATTAACCTTGGAGTGGGAAAAGAAGAAGAAAAACTGACCTTTCTCGGTCCAAAGCATTCACCAAATTCTTTTAGTGCAGTGGTTCCCAACCTTGGGTAGCCCAAGTGTTCTTTGACTGCAGCTCCCAAAAGCCTTCACCACCAGCTATGCTGGCTGAATTTTCTGGGAGTTGCAGTCCAACAACACCTGGGTTACCTAAGGTTGGGAACCACTGACTTGTAGCCTGAGAAGAACCCAAGAGCCCACTTTGGACATTGTATATTCTAAGGCCAAAAGCCCATCTCATCAAAGCTTGGGACATTATTTTACTGGTCTATTAGTATCCTCCATCTGGCATGGCCAGCAGAAATTCATGGAATCATATTCCAGAAAGTAACTGGTCCGTAATCTTGTTTTTTACAGTGACCAAGCCAGATGCTTCAATCAGGGATTTTCCAATACCCCCTGGACCTTTCCATGACACTGCAGTCCCTGACGGGATGGTGTCTCATTAGCTAATTTGGCCATAGGTTTTGTACCTCAGCAGAGATGTGTCTTTTAATCTTTGAGACTTCCTAGAACAATATTCTCCTACATTGTGCCCTCCAGATGTGTCAGATGACAACTTCCATCTTAACAAGGCAGTTGCCTTGGTTAGAAAAGAAATGTAATCCAAGAGCTTTGGAGGGCACCAGTTCAGGAAAGGCTTTCCTAGCAGCTGCAGGGATAGGCAGATGTTTGGGGAACAAAGGAAAGATTAGCAAAGTGGCACTCTCATATCATTTAGAATATAACCAAGAGCTGCTAGCAAGAAGATGCTTGATCTGCTTTGGAAGGAATGTATACAGTATTTAGATGTTGGACTTTTCCATGATGTCCCACAATGTTATTCAACATCAATTTTGAATCTTTCACTGGCACAGTCCATCATGGACCTATTAAATGAAACCCTGTAAAAGAGTATGATGGCAATTGCTTCACACTCATGTGACTTCTCCCCAACACCCTTGAAGATCCACCAAATCCAAGCAACCACATCTTCCAAACACATTATGCAATCCTCTTATTTGGCTGGCTTTGGGGATGGTTCCCATATGTATAGACATTGCTTATCTTCATACAACTAAATCAAAGATGCAGATATGAAAAATGGAAGTTGTTTGTAATGGAGGTTCATATTTATTTTTATTTTATTGGATTTCTACCCCACCCAACTATACCAAAGGTCTACTCTGGGTGGCATATTGTGGGAAAGCAAAGAGGCTTTCGAACTATTTTAGTCATAGATGCCATCCTAAGCATGTCAACACTAAAGGCTACATCCTGCTATGGAGCGAGGAGCCTGATATAATAGATTCTACTATTGCTCAGGCAAAGTCTCAGACTAATCTGAAAAGCTTTATAGCAAAGAGTGGGGAACATATAGCTTCCAGATGTTGTTGGGCAACAACACCCATCAGCCCTAGGCAGCACAGACAATGGTGAGAATTTACATTGCTGCTCAACACCTTCTCAAAAGTCACAGATTCTCTTGTCTGTTTTATAGCCTCTTCAACTTTTAGGAAGCTAATGACTAGCATGGCAAAGCAGTTTCTTTCCACCCTACAGGCACGTTTATGTATCATGAGCATCCCAATTTATAATCTGAATAGTTCACCATGTGACTCAGAAGGACAAGACTCTGAGTTCATGATCTGGTTCCAGTGATCTCTAATAAACATTTCTTATAGTTCAGTACTAAAGGAACTACAGTATGTGAAGTGTTCCATGATTGATAGGACTGATTTGATTTCAAGCTACATTATACTGCAGGGCTGGGCAACTGTGGCCCTTTAGATTTATATCATATCATATCATATGGATCCAAACGCCAACAATCACCATTGGCTATACCATCTAAGGCTGATGGGAGACATAGATCAAAAACATCTGGATTGTCTGCCATTGTCCACTCCTGTTACACTGAGTGGGTCTATAGCTCCAATCAAGCCTGTTATTTACTCTTACTGACAGTAGTTCTCCAGAGACCCAAGCAAAGGCTTTCCATCATAATCTGCTGTGTGATTCTGGAGATGACAGGGACAGACCAAGTATTCTATTACTAATATGACCACTCTTCAACTGAACTGGCAGTTGCGCATTTGCAAGTTGCTTTTTTGGACTATAATTCCCAGAATATCTCTCCCACCACCCACTCCTGAAGCATAGCCACTGGCTAGTTGAAATCTGCATCAAGCCCTTGGGACAGTGAAGACTTTTGAGAAGTCCAGTTCAATCAATAAAAGGACATTTTGCTTCAGACATAAAACCTGTCTATGGTTTTATATTATAAAGTAATATCCATACAATGCTCCTGATGGTTGACCAGGTTGGAACATGGCCTGACCACATTGCCATTTGCTGATGGTGAAGCAAGCTTTATGCATAGCAGCCTTAAAGGAAATGAGAAATCAATAACTGAAAAGAATCTATTCATTTTACCTGGATTGTCTGCCTTTGAACAGATAACAATTTCCTTCCTATTCAAGTACATATATAAAAGGCTTACTGATTCCCCCACACACATCTAAGGCACACTATTAATTCACACGCACAGTCACACATCTTACACATACTACCCTGGAGGGAAAATAGACACACACATTGCTATACAAACAGCCTCTCATGATGACTGTATGTACAAATATGGACTCAAGTCATGCGAGAGAGGGAAAGAGACCAGTAGCGCTAAACGCCCCTTCATCTAAAGGTTAAAATTCTGAATCATAAAATATACAAGATAGATGGTGGCAGTTAATTCACCCAGAGTCTGAGAAAAGTTACTTTATTGACCTACTAGGTCTAGAATTTACCAGGCATCACAGCAAGGGGCCATGGTGTAGGCATCCTTCAGTCTCAAGAAACTATGGTAACGTGCTCTGAATAGAGGTTTTGGAATAGCGTCTAGTGTGGCTAAGGAGGCCAACTGAAGAGCGACAATCCCTTCCATACTGAAGACAAATATAGTTGTGGCCCGCATAACAAGCGATTTGTTTAACGACGAATCCGCATAGCAATGTGTTTTTTGTGATCGCAAAAGCAATCGCATAACAATGTTTTAGATGGTAAAATATCGTTTTGCGATGATCGGTAAGTATTTCACTTACCGATTTTCGCATAGTGATGTTTTAAGAACAGCTAATCTGCGGTTCCAAAATAGCCGCCGGGTAAAGAAAATGGCCGCCCGCAGTGTTTTCGCGCCCTTTCCTCGCTTACCAGGCAGCGGCTGCATGGAGGATTTTCGCAGCACTCTGAGTTTTTTGCCCATAGGAACGCATTAAACGTGTTTTAATGTGTTCCTATGGGCTTTTTTGCCCTGCATAGTGATAAATCCACATAGCGATGATTTTTTCAGAACAGATTATCGTCGCTATGCGGGGCACCACTAATCTCTCCCCTGTCCAGCTCCCTGATTTTGCTGGTTTGAGGACTGCCTCTTTGCCTCGGCCTGCTGAACGGGTGTCTCTTCAAATTGGGAGAGGCCACGCTGCACCGCCTGCCTCCAGGGTGAATGCTTAGATTTCCCATCTGTTGAGGTCCATTCCTAAGGCCTTCAGATTCGGCTTGCAGATATCCTTGTATCGCAGCTGTGGTCTCCCTCTGGGGTGCTTTCCCTGCACTAATTCTCCATACAGGAGATCTTCTGGAATCTGACCATCAGCCGTTCTCACGACATGCCCAAGCTAATGTAGACATCGCTATTTTAGTAATATATACATGCTAGAAGGGGGGAGGGCATACTTTATAGTAAATTATAGAAATTACAGACCAAAAAAGAAACTTTTACAATCTCAGGGGCCACTATCCTGTACTTCTTTTTAAAATCATCCCCCATAGATGCCTGTCCAAAGATGCCCTTGAAAACCTTCAAAGAAAGGAGTCCTCCTAAAGTTAATTCTTCCAGAATCTGGTTGCATCTATACATAACTAGGATATTTATATTAACTTAAAATCTGCCTTCCTGCAAAGAAGCCTCCCCACTTCCACTTGTATCCTCATTAAACAAATCATTTCCCTTTTGGCTTCTTATTCTATCATCTTAATAGCTGAACATTATTATTCTGCTTTACATCACAAACCTACACATATTTACCAAAGCAGTAGCTTCCACTGTCTTCAATTCAGCTTCTGTCTGAATAAAGATGACTTTTTAAACCAAAAGTTTAAAACAGTTAATTTTCTTAACTTTTGGTTGACATCTTTTCCCTATTCAAACTTGCATGGAAGATCTTTTCCATCCTCAGAGATATAGTTTCTGAAACTTTCCCAGAGCCTTACGTTAATTGTTGATTTCTCTGAGATTCATCACAATAACGCCCAAAACACCAGGAATGCTTCATTAGGAGATCACCCTGCACAAATGTCATAAGAATAAATGGTTATCTCATAAAAGCATAGCAGAGTGATTCTGTAAGGTACAACACTGTGAACAAGCAGACTCTCCTGGTGGTTTTCCATAAAAATGTTAAGCAGGGTCTGGCCTAGCTAGTGCTTGCAATAAGACACTAGGAAATACTGGACATGCTACTAGGATGAAGTCATGGCTCACATGGTGAAGATTCCAGGTTCATTCTCCAGGGTCTTGCAGTAGGACTAGGAAACCCAGGCAAACCTTGCAGGCAGAGGTGGCAATACAGACCTAAAGGGCAAAGGGTGTGACTTACCTGAAAGGAGCTGTCTATGTTCCTAGTGCTCATATAGGAGAACATCGGGATGGATTGTGCCAATGGCCTCTCTTTTATGACTGGACGTAGTATGTGCGGACAGGGGCTCTGATGGTTTGCTGTGAGGGAAATATGGGATATATGCGAGACACCGTCCCACGATCTATTTTTAACTAGACAGTGTTGCCTACATATTTTAACAGCTTTTATCTTTTGAAGAGAACAAAGTAACAACAGGAAAGAATGGGTAGAAGCTTTTTCATGTAATGACAGGTTCATGGACTGAAGAGAATGACTAACTTGAAGGGCATTAATCCTCCCTGCACAGGCCAACCGCAAGTTATAGTTTATTAATGAAATGTATAACAGAAATTGAACAGCTTCCCCCAATGGAGTTATTACAGAGGCAAAGTAATTCATGCTCTGATTTCTCATTCAAATGGCTCTCTTGAATCTGATGTCTTTAAGTTGCTGCCAGCAAAAGTGAACACTTCATAACTTTGAAATCGGCTGCAAACAGGTGAGACCTGCAACAAAATGTTGTGTGGTGTGTTTCTAGAAGTGCAGTTTGGTTTGGAAGCAAGGTGGTCACTCCCTGCATTTCATGTTTTGAAGGGAAAAGGCACTTTTTGGCTCTACCACCAGTTTTAGCAATGGTGGTGGGCACGACCCTAAAGAACAGATATGCATGTAGGCCCTCCATTATTCATTTGCCCCGCCACATCTTAACCATTCATTCATTCATTCATTCATTCATTCATTCACTGACTCACTCACTCACTCACTCACTTAATACTGTTCCACTTAGTGAAAATCCACTATTCTGGGCATTCATATACAAAACGTGTACGCCTTGAACAATGTCCAGAACCCTGCATCTGAGCATTTGTAAGCAATGGACAGTGGTCTCTGTCATCTGTCCCCTGTACCTGCTGTTTGTAGACATATATTGTCCCTGTACACAGAAATTCAATTTTCCTGTAAAAATAAGTAGCTGTAGAAAAATCCATCCATAATGAATTGTATGTAGACAAAGAGTCATTCAAATTCATGACCATCACCTCATCTTGGATTCATGAATTCTATTTCTTTATTATATATGTTCTGTACAGCCCATCAGATCTATTAAACAGTTTGTTTTTAAACTTAATCAATTTGTGATTGATTAGTGCTCCAAAGTATATTAAATCTGTTAATAATGTGTTTCCCCAAAAATAAAACAGGGTCTTATATTAATTTTTGCTCCAAAAATGCTTTAGGGCTTATTTTCAGGGGATTTTTTTTTCATGTAGAACAATCTACGTTTATTCAAATACAGTTGTGTCATCTTTTTCTGGTTGCTGCACAATGCTGCACAATGGTGGAGGGCGGGGTTTCACTTAATTAGGGCTCATTTTTGGGATAGGGCTTATGTTATGAGCATTGTTAAAAATCATGCTAGGGCTTATTTTCAGGTTAGGTCTTATTTTGGGGAAAATAGGGTATTAATATTAGCCAATAAAACATTTCATTCATTCTATTAATCACTGTTCATTACACTTAAAAGAAACCAAGTTATGAACAAATTAACTGTGCCTTTCAGACTAGCTTTGGCACATATTCAGACTTCATAAAATATGAACATCAGAGTCCTGTATTTAATTCACTCACCTGCCAATAAACCCCTCCAAACCCAATAGTATTTTCCTCCAAGAAGACATGTCTATTCTTGCAATGTTGTTGTTATCGTTATTATGAGTCATCAAATCAGAACCATCTAATAGCAACCCTAATAGGGCTTTTAAGTTAAGTGAGATATTTAAGAAATGACTTTACCAGTTCCACACATCCCATAGGTTTCCATTGCCAAACAGGAATTTGAAACCAGGCCTCCTGAGTCCTAGTCCATCATGCCATCCACTTAATCACACTGGGTATACCAATTCTTTCAGTGTCACATGGTAAATATTTCTCTGGAATTCACTAGTGACATTTTCCACCTCCATCTAAAAATATCTCTGCACACGGAACAACTACTGTGCTTGATAAAATTGCACTTCTTAAGACTTCTTCCTAACTCCCATATGCCAAGTGCCGGGAAGTTATTACTTTTTGTTTACCCTGCTCTTTAGAGCTGATCCACTGCAACCGGGCACCAGTAGCATTTTGTTAACAGTAGCAGAAAGAAAAGTGCAAACCACCTTTTCGCTTTAAGAACAATCTTTTCCCATTTTGTGTCTACACTAGACTTGGGTTTGTGCCATTTCATATGCATGGCACCCCAAGTATCTGTGCATTCCCTTCCCTCCCCAGCCAATGACCCACTCACCAATCACAGCATGCTTCTCTCCTCCTCCTGTTCAGCTGTTCAACCAGTCCCCAACAGGAACATGGGTCTGCCTGTCCTGCCTCCTTGTCTGGGTGGGTGATCAGTCAAGGGAAAAGGGCAGGGAAGCCCATGTTTCTGCCAGAGACTGGTCAAACAGCTGAGGAGGAGGAGGAGGACAAAGAACCCTAGCTGTTGAGTGGGGAATCCGGTATTAACATTAGCCAATAAACATTTCATTCATTTTATTAATCACTATTCATTACTCTTAAAAGAAACCAAGTTATGAACAAATTAACTGTGCCTTTCAGACTAGCTTTGGCACATATTCAGACTTCATAAAATATGAACATCAGAGTCCTGTATTTAATTCACTCACCTGCCAATAAACCCCTCCACAAACCTGACACAAACCTCCGAACTGAGGTTCGTGTCCATCTCTAGTCTACCCTCTCTTCTTCATCCCTTCAGTCTTAACGGAATGGATACCTGGCAGACATTTCATGTTGACAGATGAGTTGATTTGTTAATATCATGGTCACACATTCTTTTGGAGGGGGACTACAAAAAGTGTAATGGGTCCTAGCCTTGGATAACTGAATACACACCATGGGTTTGCAGTCTGAAAGACAAAGTTTGGCAGCTTTATCCCTCACTGTTGGCCTTTATGGGTTTTCTACCTTTGACAGAAGTTATTTGCTTTTTAATAGGCAGTAAACAGTACCATCCTATACAGTTTTTTGAGAAGTTAGTAGCACTGAGGTAAATGGGGCTAACTCAAAGGGATCATAAATATAGGGTGGAGTGTATCCTTAAGGACAGAGTGGCTCTGTAAGGGGGTTCTTCACCTACAGACATTAACCAAAATTCTTTCTCAGAGAAAAGCAAAGGGCTCTGTATGCACATAATAGTCAGGACTATGTATATTAGGATATGTAGTGTAGTATCGTGGATAGAGTGATAGAACTCAGGAAACCTCCGTTCAAATCTCCATTCAGCCATATTAGCCATGCAGAGATCGATGGATTGCTCTACAGTCTTCTAGCTCTATGGCTGAAAAACAAAAATGCCAGTCCTTGTGCCCAAACTTGACTAATGAGTTACAGCATCATCCTACAAATGTAGGATTCAGCAAACTGAAGGTTAGGGGATTACTTATTCCTTGCCATTAGCACTATCCCTTCCAACAAAGGGATCTTCTTACAGACACAAAATCATTCATTCATAGGCATCCTTCAGTCTCGAGAGACTATGGTAACATGCTCTGTATGGAGGACTTGGAACAGCGTCTAGTGTTTTGATGCTGTATGTGAAACTGGAGTGTCCTCTCCAGGGCACGAAGCGTGGGTAAAATAATATGAAGGATAGGCTGTTACCCAAGCAACAAATCCCCCCTCTCCACGTCACTGAAACAGTCCAATGGAAAGGCAAGAGCCAATACAACTGGTTTCAACGATGCCGCAGGAACACAAACTGGCCCCAGGACTCCGGCTCCGGACCCTGCTCTGAGGCTAACCCCTGAAGCCCTTTCCATTGGTGGACATAGCCACAAGGCAGTGGAGGTTTGAAGTCAGAGTTTTCCTTCTCCTAGATGGGCTGCCTTCCAAGGCTAATGAGTCCCACCTACCCAGCTTGCTCGCTCATAGCATGGAGGCCGATGGCGGTGCCTCACTGGGGGTTTGAAGTCATTTTTCTTTCCTAAGCACAAGCCGCTGACAAAGTGCTGGATGAAGCTGCATTTCATCTTCCATTTCTGATGATGGTGTCATGCCTCCAATTTCATATTTTCTTCAGAGTCATTGTAACTTGTGGTCACTGGTGATCCTTCCCCGCTGCCTATTTCAGTCCCCAAACTGTTAGAATACTTCACCTGATGTTTTGTTGGAGGAAAGCTCTTCTGCTTTTTGCACTTTTTGGTTTTCAGAAGTTACCGCTTCATTGGAGAAGTTTTTGGTACTTCTGCAGTGAAATCAGGCTGTTAAAGCAGCCCTTTAGGATCCATAAAACAAAGGTAAATTTTAGGATGTCCAATAGGATGTTTTGGGAAACCTACAAGCAGATTTTTAAAAGGAGTACCTGGAAGAAAACTTTCCTCAACCACCTCTATGTCAGAAGCAT